TAGAAAGGGTATCATGAGTTGCACGCTCTTGGGGGTTATATACTCTTGCTAATATCAAGAGTCTGCCTGTCTTCTGGCACATGCGAATACGTGGACTTACTGTTGACGTAAACGCGGACGTGCATATACTAATATCAATAAGTATATAAACAAGAGTGTGCAACTCGAGGATGGGTTGGCCCACGACGCAATTTTTTGTTGACGTAATCTTTTCTATGACGGACACGCTGCGAGCCTTTTGGGAAGTTTTGCCTCGTGCACTTGGCCAGGTTTTACATTACAAGGTCGGTGCCCAGCACCTGCTCTTACACTGCCCTGCGGCAAAATCCGCATGCTCTGTAAAAAAAGGTGACGTCAACAAAAAATTCTGCCCGCGGGCCGCGGTATCTGCAGATTGTGCAGGAGAGATCCGGAGTTGCACACTCTTGTTTATCTACTCTTGCTAATATTGATAAGCATCCTCCACATCAGTAACAGTAACACCTGCCAACTGGTTGTCGCACATGCTGGATTGCCTGTAAGCTAAACATCGAGGCAAAGAATTTCATGAAACCAATACATGTACGTGTTGCAGTCACATCGGAGGCACCAGTTTTCTACTTTCACAAAACTAATAATCAACAATAATTTGCTTAAAAATCCTTACTTTGTTTCACTAGTTCCCTTCCGTACAGTCCAAGAACATTCCCTGTCCGTGCTGCTCACATTCTTGTTCGCGTAGACAAGGGCTGCAGCCATGTGGTGGCACCGTCCTTGGCCTTTGGGACAAGTGCACGAAGCGCGTACAACGCCACCTTCAGAACCAAGTTCGATCTACACAAAAATTTGAATATAAAAATAGTAGAAATATTCAAAGACGATGTGAGGGTGTCCAGGTCGATAGAAGAGACTGTAAGCAGCTAGGAACGGCACAACAGTTGCTTAGTGCTAGGTTGCTCACCTCCACATCATATCTCTTGTCCTTCATGCTTGCGTGGATCTTGGCAGTAATGTGCCCAAGCTCATGGTGAAACAGAAATGATTCCACGCGGTTCGAAGAGTGTGCATTTTCTCCACGCTGGATCAGCCTTGGTTCTCCACTGAAAAAAGTGGCGATGCTAGATAACGGTACTAAAGACATTCTAAAACAAACAAAACGCAGAACTGGGGGCCAGGGGGAAGACAGCAGCCTAGGCTTCTGGTCGAAATCGAAAGAAATATATGTCTCCTCCACTATTTTCAAAGCTGGTCACAAGAGCTCGAGTGGGTAGTGGATCCAGTTCATGTTGCACGTGATCCCGTGACGTAGGACTTTCAAGCCCTATCCAATGCCCCGGCGCGGTAACGGTAAGTACTAGTTGCCAGGGGTTTACTTGAAAAATGATTACATGTACTCTGAAGTAGACTCTACATGATTGTACACACCCGGTACCCAGCGATCTAAAAATACTTGCAAAAACGCGTCGCCTCTAAAGTAACCCACCTCAGACTAGAGTTGGTCATGATCCTCTGGGTGTGGGCCACCAGCTGCGCTGCTGCTGAGGTTGAACCTACAGTCATGTTATAATGACTTCTTACATGTACATGTATCTCTGATCGTCTAACCGCTCGGTTCCACAGTCCACATACAGTCATGTAATTGTACATGTACTGACCCGGCCGGCCGGATATCCCTCTTTTTCACTCAGTGACTGCTAGGGACCGGCGGATTCTGCTCGAAAAGGTGGCAGATTCTGCTCGAAAAGCAGTGAAATTGGCAGAACCATACAAACCTTATGGCGGGCAATTCCTCGAATTCCGCTCCATTTTTTTATCCACATACCAAACATGCATGAAACTTACCAGAAAAAGTACCGAATTCTGCCAATTTTTCTGCCGGCAGAATCCGCCGGACCTTAGTGACTGCTGCCCTATTATCGAGCACTCTTGCCTATAATGTGCTTGTACAAACGCAAGAAGACAACAGGAAGTGAATAGCCTATATAATTTTATTTTCATTATTTTATTGGTTTGGTGAGACTCCCATGATAGGTATCCATTTACCTCTGGAGAATCCGTAAATAAATAAACAAAAAACAAACAAAACAAAAAGCCTGTTGAGCATCAGCAGCAGCATCAGCACCATCACTAGCCCTTTCCCAAAGGTGCTCGCCCTTTTTTCGCCCTTTTTGGCCCTTTTTGGAAAAGCCCGTTTCTTTCGCCCTTATTGCGTTTTTTTTGTGAATATCGCCCTTTTTGAGCTTTTTTAGCTGAAAAAGTGCTAAAATCTGTTTGGTCATGCATGCGATCACAGTTTCTGAGTGCTCGATGGGCCTTGGAAGTTGGCACGCCGCTTTTTTGGGGGGGGGGGGGGGCAACAAGTTGGTGAAGCTTGTACCCGGTGTCACAATGCTGTAAAAAGTGGGTTTTTTTAAAACTTTACTTCCTGTTTTGTCTTTCGTGGACCCATAAATGGAAGAGTGCGTATTCATTTCTCAGCTTGAGTTCATATCTGAACATGTATCATGGCTATAATAATAATAATAATAGTACAGGTTGCATGTCTCCCAAATAATGGGTTCCACGCATCTGTCAACTGTTTCATCATGAAATAGATTGCAGCAGGAAGAATAGCATACGAAAAAACCATATACAGGTTCTAGCACATGACAAGTACATGCCATTTTTTTTACACCGATGTACATTTGTCAATGAAGTCCAGCCATAGCTTTTTGTCCCGTGCAGTGTTGAGGCAATCCTCGAGCGTGTGCCTGGGAGGGGAGATGTCGGATTTCACCACATCAATCCACCGAAGCCTAGGTCGTCCTCGTGGACGCTTGATCTTTGACGTGTCGATGGCCATGGGTAGCGCGCCATAGGAAGCTGTGCCCGGACCTTCCTGAACAACATGGCCGAACCATAGGAGACATCTTCTCTTGCAGACCCTGCTGATTGGTTGCTGTTTTGATTTTTCATACAGGATTTGGTTGGATATGCATGGCTATGCTTCACTGAAAAAAGAGCACCTTTGCCTGTTTTCACTTAAAAAAGAGCACTTTTCAGCATATTTTGAGGGATGCGAAAAGCACTAAATGTGAATTAAAACAGCACCTTTGGGAAAGGGCTAACCACCACCAGCAGCAGCAGCTTTGACGGCATAATCTAGATGCATCACACAGTTATACACCACTACTCCAAAACGGTCTCTCGGCTACAAATTTTTCCAGAAAATTAATAATAAATCCAAATTTTCGGGCCAGGCCCGGCACCCATCTTCATTACATACCCTTAGGAAGGTAATCTCGATGCATCCTTTGGTGGTTCTCTTCGGATCCCTGCTGTTGCCGACCAGCAACGATTCATCATTTGCAGCCACAGAGCAACAGTCAATCCTGAATCGGGCAAACGTCACGTTTTCTTGAAGAAGCGAATCAGATTGTCTCTGGACGAGTGCATTCTTCCCGGCTTTCTGTCTCTTTCTTTCAACGAAGTATTAGTTCATGGATACCAAACGTCAAAGTGGTACTTGAGTCTGGGGGAAGGAACTGGCTAGTCAGGTGAAGCAGGTGAAGCAGCAATACCATTGCCACCACGGGTTTCAGTATGTTCTTTTAAAATAATTGCCGTCAGTGTGGCTACTATAAACTCCAATTTCAGAATATTGAGGTGTTCAACATGTTAGGTACAGTAAAACCTGTGACTAAAGACCACCGTGACGAGCGAGCAGCCTAAAGATCACCGTGACGAGCGACCAGCCTGGCAGGCGCGTGCGCTGGTGCCCTTCAAGGGGGGGGGGTTCCGGGGGCCTCCCCGGGAAAAATTTCAAAAAATGAAGCAAAATCCTGCATTTTGAGCGAAAAAAGGGGGTTCCGGGCACCCAGGAACCCATACGGGGCACGCGCCTGCCTGGTACTACATGCCACTTCGCCAGGCACAGACGGCCTCACATAATGGTTGTGCGGTGCAAACCTGTAACTAAAGACCACCTGCCACCAAAAGACCGCTTTCTCCGACCCCAAGGGGTGGTCGTTAGGCACAGGTTTTACTCCACTTACTGTGTGAGACAGTACACATTTTCGTTCACGAAATCTTTCGTTATTTCACTCTGCCAGCAGGCTTGTTACGTACTAAATTTCGTTTTTGGTCGACGTCTGTCACCCCCAACGTTCAG